TCAGAATATCAGAATTATTTCTGAAGGATAGTGTGACTGGAGTAATGATGCAAAACATTTTGCTTTGAAATCACTATAAATTACATTTTAAAATATATTCAAATAGAAAATAGTTATTTGAAATAGCCTAGTAAAAATATTTCAAAATTTTACTGTTTTGCTGTACTTTGGATCAAATAAATGCAGGCTTGGTGAACAGAAGATACTTCTTTAAAAAACATTAAAAATCTTAACAAAAATCCATTAAAAACTTTTGACTGGTGTATAGTCAACTTTAATTTTTCTCTCGTTTCTAGCTTTTAATTGACTTAGAAATCAGATAACTGCTGGACAATAACCAATAATAATGATTTGTTTATATACTACAAACACTTTTTTTTTATCACATAATAAGGCAGAATAGTTTTTATACTGTAATAAATGCTATGTCAATTAGCACTGCGTTGTTCATATACTTTATTTATTACCTGGAGATGACTTGACAAACACAAATAAACCATATTGTCGCAATCGTATGTTTAATGTCTCCATGTTTCCAAACGTTTCTGTTTTCATACAGCGAGCTGGACACTTTTGTCCATATTAGGAATTTCTGAATGAATTGAATGAAACATACACTGCATGAGTGTTTAGCGCTTCGTGATGTTCATCTCGCCTTATTCTGGGTCCGAATAAAACATAAGATCATGCACAGACTATCCTGTCTCTTTGAATTTAAATCTATATTTATTCACACCGGCTCTTGAAAACCTCTATGTGAACACACTTGCCCGAAAAAGTGCGGGGGATGAATTTACGTGATATTAAAAGTGGGGGGGACACGACCCCCGCGTCCCCCGCGTAATCTACGCCCCTGACACACACACACACACACACACACATACATTTGTTTTTCTGTCATGGTGGGGACTCACCATTGTCTTGTTTTGTGTTATATTGAGCTAATGATAATAATACTGCCAAAAATCAAGGATGACATTAGCAACCAGCAAGCAGGAGCGGTATTTACTTAGGGAGAGGGTTATTTCATGGTTTATTTGTGTCACAGCTCCTTCATTTGCATCAAGGGTATTTGGTGTAGCACTGCTATTTACTTTAACAGAATTTTGATGAGGAGCTCAG